TTTTTTTATTATAGACTTTTCCCTTGAAAAGGGAATTTCTCATTAAATAACATGTGTTGAAATGCCTTAACGAAATTGTATAGCTGAGGGAAAGCATTAAGATATCATCATGAATGTTATGAGAGCTTTAATCTTTGAAACTAAGTTAGAAAAATCTCTTTGTTCTATCTATTTGACTTATCTCATTAATAGATTGACTACACCTTTGCAACAAAATTAATGCTCTTATACTATAAACAACAACCTACTCAATCACTTCGGAACATGGTCGAATCAAATTATCTCCCGAGACCCAAAAAACACTAGTGCAGAAATGGCCTTTAACGTCACCCCATAAACTAAAAAGTAAATATGTATGCATGCATTGATTAATGGGCAAAAAGAAACAAAACACGTGATTTGAATTATATGAATGAATATGTTGTTGGGGTTTACCAATTTCATCCTATCCACTCTCTTATATTTAGGAATTCATCATTCTTTTCAATAATGTTAATGCCACTTTCTAAATTACATTAAACCCGATGTCTCGGCAAAGAAAGCCTATCCTTAATTATGCGTTCATACAATTCCTAGCATCCCTAATAATTAATTATGAAGCACAGAAGTTTAAAGGCAACCAACCATCATACTCCTATGTCTAGGTTTGTAATATACTGTTGGGAGAGATTCCCCAAATCTAGATTTTCACATATATGTCCATATCGACAAAACCAATAATCATGACATCGAATGAGTTAAACAATGCATGCTTTGAGTAAAGAGGAAAAACCCTAACTATTAATGAAAGAAAGCATGTATCATAAAAATGATCTTGAAGAACAAATTCCATACAAGAGAGTTTCTAAGGATTTACATTGATTCCCCAACAACAAATAAAAGTTTAGTTCTCCATCGTCATGGAAGAACTAGATGAACAATGGAATGAAAGAATGGAAGAGATAGAAAAACCCGAGAAAGAGAAGAGGAGAGCCCTCACCATCTCCAATTCTACCCCCAAGGGGTGAAAAGTGTGTTTCTGCTTCGTTCCAGCAAAAGATACAAACTCTAGAACGTCCTAAAGCTTATATACTATTCTAAAAAAATACAGAAAAGTGCTGCTCAGCGGTTTTTACCGCTCAGCGATTTTTACCGCTCAGCGGCAAGTGCTGCACCTCAGTTTTTCCCCTCAGTTGCTGTTTTTGCACCTCAGCGGTGATTTCGGCACCTGAAAACTGGCGCTCAGCGATTTTTACCGCTCAGCGCCACTCGGTCGCAACTTTTTCTACACTCTGGTTGACTTTTCTGCATTCTGGTTGATTGGTTGACTGGTTGACTTTTCTGTATTCCAATCATTCGGTACTTCAACTCTTCTTTCAAACCATTCAATTAGCCTACAAAATCAAGGGAATCTAGCGCAAAACCATTCAATTCACCTTCAACTCTCTTATTTCCAATAATTCAACAAAATCATGAGTTCAAACTAATTTCTAAGTCATAAAGGTTGTAATTGATGTCAGTTTTATGTATAAAAATAACAGTTTTTGAATTGTTATCAGTTGTTGGAATTTAGGATTACCGTTAACAGTTAAAAGATTTGGCTTAGTTGAATGATTGATTCCTTGGTGTGATGCATGCAGTTTTATTGGCAGTACTAAGTGCTTGAGCAAGCCACTGAAAAATATTTTTGTGCTGTCAAGTTTCTTCTAAGTTTTCACTTTTGTTTTAACTAAGTGTTTTTTATGCCAAATATTGTCTTTGTACCTTTTTTCATTGCCAAGAATTTGGTGTTTAGTTGATAAATATCTAAGTCATGGAATGGTTTTATTAGAAACTAATGCAGGAAATGTTTTATTAGAAGCTAACCTAGGAAAATGGTTATGGTGCAGTGATATTTGGGGTTGGTTAAGTCTAAGCCAAGATTTTTGAAGTTAGCATATGCAAGATTTTCGAAGCCACTTTAATGATTTAAAGTTTTAAGTGATGAGATGTTAAAAAGATTTGTTTAATGGAGAAGGTGTTTGGTTGAGTGATGGTGGCGAGTGTTTTGCACAGAGTTCACAATTTCACATGGTGGCCCCTCTTGACATGACCACTTTACTCTTCTCTTCTTCTTTCAATTTCATTTCTAATAAATCTACTTCTTCTTCTTTAGGTTCATGACTTCTACCTGCTTCTTTTGCTTTCAAAATTTTTATCTCCTCCCTAGCCTCCTACTCCTACTCTGTACCAATGCCTTAGTACTACAATAATATATATATATATATATATATATTTAATTTCTAAATTTGTTTTCTTCTGCTTTTTAAATTTATGTCGAATATTCACTTCTTGTCTACCTTCAATAATGCCCTTTGCTGCCGTTCATTTGTTTTTTCTTTTTATGCATTTAAATAATTAAGTATATGTTGTTGCTGCCATTGGATTTAAACAAATCATAAACTGGAAAAGTCCAAGATACAACCTCGGTTCAAAAGAGAACCGAGGCGAAAAGTCCTTTAAAAAGGGAGTGGAAAAATCCTACTACCTTGGTTACTTTTGAACCGAGGAAAAATCCTACCCTTTTAACTCGGTCCACCATTGAGGTAAAAAAGGATAAACTTTTTACCTCGTCTGTGTATGCCTCGGTTCCAGAACCGTTGTCTGTGGGTGAAAATAACCGGTATCGTTTCCCTTGACTGAACTAGTGCAAAAACCAAGTTAGATTCATTATGGAGTAGGAAAAAGAAATTTAAGATATCTACAAGGCACAAAGGAGCTTGGTATATGGTACAAAACCATGACTAACTCAATAATTATTGGCTACACAGATAGTGATTAGGCAGGATCAAATTTTGACATGAAGAGTATGTCAATATACGCTTTCTAACTAGGATCAGGCCCTTTATCTTGGGCATCAAAGAAGCAAGAAACCGCGGCACAATCAACAACAAAAGCAAAATTTGTAGCAGCTACTGAAACCACGACCCAATCATTATGGTTACGAAGAACTCTTGCAAAAATGGGTGAACCAAAAGATGAATCGACTATTATTTATTGTAACAAAACATCGACAATATCAATTGCAAAAAATCCAGTCTATCATCGTAGAACAAAACATAGTCATTAAATACCACTTAATTCGAGATGAAGAGATAACTAAACAAATTGGACTCAAGTATTGTCCAACAGAAGACCAAATTGTAATTATTTTTACAAAGGTGTTACCAAGACAAGGATTTGAACTACAACTAGCGTGTTATGCTTGGAGTTGCTGAGTTTGCATCAAGAAGGGGTATTAAAGTGTAATGGAAATTCTAGAATAATGTAGAAAATCCTAAAGATAAAAAATGTAATACAAATTCTATAATATTGTAGAAAAGCCTAAGATTCCACATAAGTTGTGGCTAACATTTTCTAGAATAATCTATATGAGTCTATAAATATCCATGTGCTCTACCATTTGATGCAAGACAACATATACCACTTCTTCCAACTACTCTATAAATGCCCCAACTAAGAAAATATATACACTTCTTCCAACTACTACTTTCAATTATATTATCTCTACATTTTCTTTTCCTTATCAATTATTTCTTTCATAGCCTCAAAATACTAACAATGATTAGTCAAAATACACAAAAACCAATATGTGAGATAAATGCCCTCTTTGATATAGATAAATCCACCACTTTTTTGTTCTATATCTTCTATAATAAAACCAAAAACATTTACTTAAGCTTCTAAAATGGACTATAGGGTGCATTTGGGAGACATTTTATCTTCTGTAGCATAGAGAGGCACAAGACTCGTTTAGTCGCCAAGGGATATACACAACTTGAAAGGGTGGATTATTCATGACACTTTTTCTCTCGTTGCAAAGCTCACAACAGAAAAAATCATCCTTTCCATAGTTGTTGCCAAAAATTGGTCCTTTGAACAATTAGATGTTAATAATTCAATTTTGCATTGTGACTTACATGAAGAAGTTTATATAAATTTACCTCCTGGTGATGGCATCTTCCCATCAAAATAAGATTTGTAAATTGAAAAAAAATCCTTGCAAGAATTGAAACAAGATAATGGTATGCAAAGCTAACACAACCTTATTAGCCCTTAAATTTACTCAATCTTCAGTTGATCATTCTCTCTTCATAAGAATATAGGGGTATGCTTTATTTATCTTTGTTGATGACATAATTCTTGTAGATAATGATTCTAATGAAATTGAATATGTCAAGACACATTTGGACAATGAATTTAGCATTAAAAATCTTAGTCAACTTCATTATTTGTTAGGGCTTGAAATATCACGTTCTTTCTCTAGTATTGTGGCCAATCCGAGCAAATCTGCACTAGAAATATTGGAAGAAAATGACATGTTTTCTACCAACTCAATATCCACTCCTATAGAACCTTCTACCATACTAAATAGCTCTTTCGACACTCTTTTATCTGACCTTCAATTTTATCGCTGATTGATTGGTCAGCTAATGTATCTTACTAGACTAGCTTTTCTCAAACCATGGATACTCATCATCGTTCTGCCATGAGAGTGCTTCGTTATCTTAAAGGATCCCCTGCTAGAGTTCTTCATTTTGTTGTCAACTCATCTCTCTTTCCTTTCAGTTTTGTTGATTCTAATGAGGTCGTTGTATGGAAACTTGGAAATCTATCACTGATACTATGTTATTCTTGTCTCTTCATTAATTTCTTAGAAAACCTAGAAGCAAAAACACAATATCTGAGAGGAAGAAGAAGTTGAATTTAGAGCTCTTGCAGCTTTCACTTCTAAGTTGTAGTGGCTTCATTAATTTAAAGTTCTTAGTTAACAATGTGTCTTAGTTACTCATTAATTTAAAACTTCTAAGCTTTGACTTTTGCACAAGTGGCTGATATGTTTACTAAGGCTTATATGTTCTTGTAAAAATATAATCCCTTTATAATTTTGAATCTGAAGTATTCCTACAATTACTATATCCTTTGATAGGATTGTGAAAGCGTGTAACCTTTTATAGTTTACAAACCTTTTGATTGTTTCTTAGAACTAATCTATGTTACATGTTTTATTTCAGATAAACAAACCATATCTTCCATTGGCCTCTGGGAAAATATCCTTCAGAAATTGTGTCTTTATTGATGCCACATCTGCAATTATGGTGCCATATAGATTAATCACTTTAAATAATAAAAAATTTTAAGATGAGATTCATAAAGAAAGAAGAGTTATTGTTTTATTATATTTTACAGGGATTAGGGATTAACTTGATGATAGGTTCTACTGCATTGATTTGGAACTTTGTGTTGTGCGCAACATTATGGACTTGCTATTCTGCCAATGTAAGTTCTTTCCAATTGAATTTAAACTGTGTATTATGTTTTAGGGTATAAAGTATTGGTGCACTGAGTAATCTTATATATATCTGTAGTTGCCTTTCTTACGATGGAAGCAAAATCCGGTGCTGGCATCATTAGTCATGTTTGCTTGTTCGACACTTGTAAATCCAATTACATACTTCCTTCATATCCAGGTTTTTCCCTCTCACTAATCTTGCCTTTTATAGACCCTAGTTTTGAATAAGCATGTTCCAACTTATTATCACTTCAAAGAATAATAACAAATTTTCATCCAAAGTTTTTTGGGTTAGTTTCATTTGATATATAATCAACCATTTGAATCCACCAACCAGAAATGGATCTACTAAATTGCTAATTGATGTAACAAATGTTCAGACGTTTGTGTTGAAGAGGCCACTTGTGTTTACAAGATCGTTAATTGTTACTCTTCTGTTCATGAGTTTCTACTCAACTGGTTTAGCATTAGCCAAGGTAAATGTCTTTATTTTTTAAGGACATTTATTAATGTTCCAACATCAAGCTTTTGGTCCAATAAATGTAAAACTTTGTATTGGGTTTGTGTAGGATATACCTGACGTAGAAGGAGATACAAAATATGGCGTTGATACTTTCGCAGCACGTTTAGGCCAGAAAAATGTATGTTTCTCAAATTCAATATTTTCTTTTGGTTATCTCCACTTTGTATAACATTTCATTGATTCTAAATCTTTAATAGGTATTTTGGATTTGCGTTTTCCTTTTGGAAATGGCATTTGGAGTTGCCTTTTTGGCAGGAGCATCATCTTCATCTCCCTTTTGGATTAAATTTGTCACGGTAACATATTTTTATTATATTATATATGGATTTGAATTTTATTAGGTATGCGGATTTATTTTTGGTCTTTTTTTCCTCAGCATGGAGTTTGATTTTGATCCATGATGTCTTATAATTATACCCAATTTTTCTTGATAAGGTGTCGTTGAAGTTATCAAATTAATATTACTTTTCAAGACAACTTGATTAATATTGCCAAGTTAGTAGTTAAGAAAGTAGATAAGGTTAGAGTAATCCTGAGTCGTCTCCCAACGAATACGAAATTATTTTTTAATATTTGAATCTTGTGAATTCAATGCAATGCTCAAAAATAAAAGTGAGAAACTATGCTAATGGAATTAATGTTTGAAGAACAAAGAGGAAACTTAGAAATAATTATGATGAAATAGGCTAATTCCATTTTCTAAGATAGATTCATCGTCGGTTATCCATAGATCATTGTTTAATTGATTATTGTTCAAGTTTCAAATTAATTAAAGTACATTATTAATAAATTTGAGGGAGATCATGCAATTAACCAAAGTAGATTCTAAATCAAATGCAAGACCTTTCTAGATTATTCACAATGAATTCAACCAAAGTACATTCTTAATCAAATTCTATTGTGTTTAGTCATGTTTGTTCTTAAATCTACTAGCCAAATTAAAAGCTAATTAATCAAAGTAAATTCTCAATTAATTATAGTTGAAATTATTACTACCAATCAAAGTATATTCTAATTTATTGCAAAAACCCGTTTAATCATATGAAAGTTCCTAAATTTAACCAAAGTAGATTCTCAATCCAACCTAGAAAACCTTGAACTTATATAATTAATATGCATGTAGATTCAAACATCTAATGATGCAAAAATCATTACTTTTAATATGATTGAGAGATGAAAGACATAGAAGAAGAATAACTCAATCAATAATCAAAAGAAAAAATTGCATTGATTTAACTTAAACTCATAATCCATAATGAAATTATAGTGGAATAGCCCTAGGAGCTTAGCCCTCCATGAATGGAGTAGAATACATGATGAAATAAAAGTGAGAGGAGTGGTGGATGATGGCTTCCCGTGGAGGAATCTGAGAATGAATGAGTTATGATTTTTGTCTCCCCTCGATTTCTTTATATAGGCTTGATCTTAGATTCTGAATCTTCTGTTGATAAAATCTTTTATCTTATATCTAATATCTTCTAAATATTCAACAGATTCAATCAGGTTTTGAGAATATTTGATAATATCTTTTTTCGATTCAAAAAGATTTGGCAAATATTATCTTTTGATATTTATTGATATATAAATAAGGTAATTATTTAAGAATATCAAATAAAATATCTTAAGATATATTTTCTCCAAATTATCTTTTAAAATATCTAACATATTTAAACTTGCCCAAAATTACATTTCAACTCTTTTTATTTATTCAAAATTACACAAAAGTCCAGAATTTTCCTCTAATTGCACTTTATTTATCTCTTTCTTTCCAAAATTGCATAGGAGTCCTGCGTTGACCAGATTGGACCAGCTTTGACCTTTCAATTTCATGCTTTAAATGAATAAAAATTATAACTGCAGATGCACAAATAAACATTAGAACATCCAAAATAATTTATGCAACTAAGAATCACATTTTAAGCATCTTTAATTCCCAAACCTAATAAATCCAATCATCACAAATTCACTTTAAATCAATCATTTAAACACAAGAATCTTATAAAAAATTTGAATTCTAAAACAAAAATGTGGGCATAAATATGCACTCATCACACTCTAACGCTCAAGTTAGTAATATAACTGATCGGTTAGAACAACTAGTGATGCATATAATGTGCATAATGATCCTAAAATCATACCTGAGACCTTTATTTATACTAGTTGTAACGGGCCTTTACCTTTTGCCAACATAATGACGGTATAATCACACCTTAATTTGCATTAAAGGCTTAATAAGTCATTACCACTAAGTGGCTTGGGAGGACGACCTAGGTGTTCGGCCTAGGTGGTCGGCTTGGGAGGACAACCTCGATGGATAGCCTAGAAGGACGACTTGGAAGGACGACCTGGGAGGACGGCCTAGGAGGATGAACTGGGGGGACAACTTGGGTGGATGGCTTGGGTAGACGACCTAGAGGTCAGTCTGGAGGTCAGCGTAATGGTTAGCCTGGTGGCTCTCGGGAAACCGTATGGTACACAAGCCCCGCAAGCCTGAGAATGATGTTTATTATGAGAAGTTGTTCTGCACATGTCACTCTTGATAAGGACGGGTTCTCCGATTGGTTTTATCTTTATGCCATCTTTATTCGTTGATTAGGATGAGTGGCTGGAAGACTACAACGGGTCGTGCCTTTGACGGCCAAGCTAGATAGGCTACTAATCCTCCTTAAACAACATGATATGGAGATCCACAGTCATCAAATTTCGGTGATGCCAATTGGGACTCCTTTGATGAAGATCCATGGTCATCGATTTGCGATGAGGCTGTTCGAGATTCCTTTGGTGAAGATCCACGGTCACCGATCTTTGGTGAGGCCAGTTAGGATTCCTTTCGTGAAGAGTAACGGTCACGGGCCTTCGGAAGACCGACCGAGATTCCTTTGGTGAAGAGTAAAAGGTCACCGACCTTCGAGAAGACCGATGGGATTCCTTTGGTGAAGAGCCATGGTCATCGACCTTCAGGAAGACCAATATGGATTCCTATGAGGCCAAGGGAAGGTTGAATAGCTGAGGCCGAATAATTTAGGCCAAACACTTTAGTCCAAATGTGGTCGAGTACCTGTGAGGCCATGGGTGATCGAGCAGTTTTAGGCTGAACAGTTCAGGCCGAACACTTTTAGGCTGGATAATTTAGACCAAGTGTGGTCAAGTACCTATGAGGCCATGGGTGGCCGAGTAGTTGAAGTTGAATAGTTGAGGCTGAACACTTTAGGCCAAGTGTGGTTGAGTATTTATGAGCCATGGGTGACCGAGTAGTTGAGGTTGAACAATTGAGGCCGAACACTTTAGGCCAAGTGTGGTCGAGTACCTATGAGGCCATGGGTGGCCGAGCAGTTGAGGCTGAATAGTTTAAGTCGAACACTTTAGGCCAATGTTGGCCGACTAGTCTGAGCAAGCTGATAATGAACATAAAGACTGACGTTGAACGGTTGGGCAATTGTGTCCTCTAAACCACAAATCATTGGTTCCTTATCGCTACAATGAGGGATACTCACTAGGTCCCACAGTGGGCGCCAAAATGTTTAGGGTATGGAGTTAAGGTCCCTTACTCAAAGCACTCCAAGTTGTCTTGAAGACCGTATGGGTTCCCTAGTAGTCCTCCATCATCTAAGTTATGGTGTTCTCTCTCCCTCCTTCTTGTCGAAGCCATGTGGGTGGGTATTTGTCAAAGGTACTCCGACGCTCAAGTCAATAATATAATTGATCGGTTAGCACAATAAGTGATGCATATAGCGTGTATAATTTTCCTAAAGTAATACTTGAGAGCTTTATTTATACTGCCCAATCATACCTTAACCTGCATTAAAGGCTTAATTATTCATTACCATTGATAATATGACCATACTGTTTGGTCATTCTGGGCGCGACCTAGGGTTAGGTAAACAACCCGGGTGGACGGCCTAGGTGGACGGCCTGGAAGGACAGCCTGGGTGGACGACTTGGGAGTTCGGCTTGGGTGGACGGCTTAGGAGGACAACCTAGGTAGACAGCCTGGGTGGACAGCTTAGAAGGATGGCCAAGGTGGACGACCTGGTGGACGACCTAGGAGGACGACCCTGATAGACGACCTAGGAGAACTACCAGAGAGGACGGTCCGAAAGGATGACCCAGGTGGACAACCTGGGAAGACGACATAGGACGACGGTCTGATGGTCGGCCTGGTGGTCAGCCTGGTTATGCTCGGGAGATCGTACGATACAAATAATATTTTAAAAAAAAAAAGTAAATTCTATGTACTTTTTTTAAAGGCTTAATTGCTTATTTGGTTCCTATGTTAAGTGATTTTTTTCAGTTTAGTACCCGTTTTTCAAAGAGCATAGAATGTGTCGCAAAGTTGTAAAAATTGTATAAATCAAGCCCCTTTTGTTAAATTGTATAAATCAAGCCCCTTCCGTTAAATTGGCATAAAAAGAGTTACTTCCGTATTGACATGGCTGCACTTTTTTTTCCCTCGTATATGATTTTCTTGCCATCTTTTTCTCTCTTTTCTATTCCTCTCAACATTAATTCAAAGCGTGAGAGAAAGTGAATAGACATTTTTGTATCTTTCCGGTATACTATTTTTCAAAGTGAATAGACATGTTTTTTTTTTGGTTTAATTGCTTCCTTTGTCCCCAGTTTGGTTGAATTGTGTCAAATTCATCCTCATTTTTAAAAAAGTTTCATTGTCATCCTCACGTGGTGTAAAAGTTTCATTGTCGTCCTCACGTGGTATAAAAGTGTCAATTGAATCCAAACATAGAAAAAATTTGTGTCAAAGTAGTCATTTTTCCTATATCTCTGTGTCTTCCTTTCATATGTCACTTCTCTGGAGCTATGAAAAGCCTTAAATTGGATAAGGTAAAATGAATATCTGTACTTGATTGTATGAAAGGAAGACACAGATATATAGGAAAAATGACTACTTTGACACAAATTTTTTCTATGTTTGGATTCAATTGACACTTTTACACCACGTGAGGACGACAATGAAACTTTTACACCACGTGAGGATGACAATGAAACTTTTTTAAAAATGAGGATGAATTTGACACAATTCAACCAAACTGGGGACAAAGGAAGCAATTAAACCTTTTTTTTTCAACAAAAAGTGCATAAACATTTTACTGTAATATAATAATAATAATAAAATAATAATAATAATAATAATAATAATTATGATGATGATGGTAATAATATTAGTAATAATAATAATAATAATATCATAATAATAATAATAATAATATAATAATAATAATAATAATAATGATAATAATATTAGTAATAATAATAATAGTAATATAATAATAATAATATAATATTAATAATATTCATAATAATAATATAGTAATAATAATAATAAAATAATAATAATAATAATATAATAATAATAACAAAAATATAATAATAATAATATAATATTAATAATTATTATTATAAAAATAATAATAATAATAATATAATAAGAATAATAATAATGATAATAATAATAATTATATTATTATAATTTTTATTATATTTAATTTAATAATAGAAATTACATTTTAATTTTAATTAAATTTATCTTACAATACTAATAATATAATACCTACATTTAGTTTGTATAAAAAATATTAAAATATCAAGCATTTATTATTGATAAATAATAAATACTTTAAATATTAATTATTTATTATTTTTAATAAAATTAAAGCTGAATGTAACACCATATAAATGTGTTTAGTATGAAAACTTGAAAATGATTCATATCCAGAAAATCGAAAACAAAACCTGTGACAACATTAATATAAAATAGTTACAATACTAATTCTCATAAAAACACCAATTGAGAAACACGTGTGGACACATGGCCCAATAAAATCTTGTGGCCATGCAAGTTGAGTTTCGTTATGAAAAAAAAAAGATGTTTTACAATTATAAAAATCATTAATATAAAAAGAGAAAAAGTTAAATATTACATAAAGAGAAAGACGAGAAAGAAGAAAAAGATTAGATTTTAAAACTATGTTAACGCAAAATTAACTTTGTTTCTCCCAGTGAATACTAAATTGAAAAAAACCACTTAATGTAAAGACCAAACAATTAAGCCTTTTTAAAATGTTTTATCTTAAAAATACTTATTTTAAGTTAAAGTTTAAGGCTTTTTTAAGTGATGTATACATTAATTTTTAAAATACCACGAATTATTTCTTTGTTTAATCAGGCATAGGTTTCAATTGTTAATTTAACACAAGATTTATTATTAAAACTTGTGACAATGTTTCTCACTAATACTATATAGTAACATGTAACTGTTTTGAGTATTCTATATTTCGTTCATCCCACAAGAGAGACTGCGTTATCGATAGCAAAGTAGACTAAAAATGCAAAAGAAAATGTAAAATAAATGATATATAGAAGCTGAAAAGTTCATAGAGTGAAGTATTTCTATTTGAACCTCTCTATACATACGAAGTTTCTTTGAGTTCAACACCGTCCCTTATGTTTAACATTACTTTCTTATGATATATCATATATCTGTATTTAGATAAACAGATTTCTATAGAAAAGCTGTCCTTATTGTGTAGATTATTCCAACTTTTTAATCTCGATTTGAAGGGTAAAAAATTATCGTTAAAATAAGCATTATTTTTTTAGTACAATAGGTTATTGTTTTTTGTATATCATTATAAATGAGCATAAAGTTATTTAAACTTTTGAAAAAAATTTAAACAAAATCTGTCTTATATTTTAGTGTCTTGGAAATGCTGTTCTTGGTTCAATTCTGTGGTACCGGACCAAATACGTAGACGTGACAAATCCAGCTTCCACTAGAGCCTTCTATTCCTTTATCTGGAAGGTAATTCTTCTCTTAAACACTGTTTTCATTTGAGTAGTTCAATATATGCAGATTATAATTTAAAGGAAAGAGTTATCTAATAACGTAAGTACTTATGTGTTTGTTTTTGCAGTTAATGATGGGGTCAAACGTTCTCCTACCTTTAATTAGATAAATTGTCACTCAAGATTGAAACAGCCTTTGAAACACATGTAACAGAATAAAAAGATATCATAACTAAATTAAAAGCAAGTCAATAACATTTATATCAAAAATCACGTAATCAAGTTAATATCAAAAATCACGTAAGAGTACTCCATATATATAAATGACAACATAAAATGATGGAGGTTATATGAGGAAAATGATGGAAGCGTGACACAGTGTTGATGGTTAGCATCTATGGATGAGACACGAGAACGTGAGTATCATGAAAAGTGACGAAAGATCCGTCATTTTTTATCGTCCCTGTTTTTTTCATGAGAGATGGAAGTATAGTTCTTATTGTTGGAATTTAAGAGTATTAGAGACCATTTTCAGATTCATGAAGAGTTACATTTATTCATGAAGAGTTATAACTATGTAGAGTTACAATTATTCATGAAGAGTTATAATCATTCATTAAAAGTTACAATCATTTATGAAGAAATGTAACTAATCAGAACCTGGTATCTCTAGGATTTGAAAGATGCTTGATCAACATCTATATAAAAGGATCCTGTGCTCTATTGATGAAAAGTGAAATATGAGACTTTTCGTCATTCACTTAACACACAACACTAGTAGAATATGGGGATAAGAAGTCGGGCAAATGCGATGGCATATTTGCAATTTTAGCCAACTTATAGGCATTGGTTCGTCCGGAACCGAAGCATAAAGGATAAATTACCTCGATTAAAATGAAAAACTGATGCCTATGGTTTTGCAATTTCCCGCCTCAACTGAAATTTTGCTGTCAGCATTCTGAAATTGGGTTTAGGCATCGGTTATTTTCAGCAACCGAAGCAGAATGCTCTGCACCTTTCACCTGCCACCCTACCACTCTGCCTGTTTTGCCTATAATTTTCCACGTGGACCTGGTGATGCTTTTAGGAATTGATTTTGCTGAGACCCGAGGTGTATACTGTGGGTTTAGGCATCGGTTATTTTCAACAACCGAAGCAGAATTCTCTGCACCTTTCACCTGCCACTCTACCTATTTCACCTGTAATTTTCCACGTGGAAATGGTGATGCTTTTAAGCATCAATTTTGCTGACACCCGAGGCAGTAGCGTGTTATGACCTCGGTTCAGATTAAAACCGAGGCATAATTCCTTTATATTTTCACCCCAAACCAAATTACCATGCGCGCACTCGTTTCTTCCTTTGCTGTTTTTACTCCCTGTCGCCATTGCCACTCTTCCTTCGCTAGTGCCACCGCTCAGGGTCGTTGGTCCGCCTTTGCCACCGCTACAGGGTTGTCGCCCCGTCGCCCCCACTATAGTGTGCTCACGGTGCCTCTTCTCGTAGAAAAACTCAAATAGTTGCATCGCTGTTGGTGCTACGTCGTCGTCGCCGCCTTGCGCCACTGCCTCGTCTTCGCGCTGTCAAGACGTCCTTGCCTTGTTCTCACTGCCACAATCCTCCTTTGCCCTTGCACCGCTAGACTGCATCGCTGGACTTCATGTTGTCTTGGTTCTTCGTCTCTTGCTCAAGTTATCTTGGTTCTTAGTGGTAGGTTTTTTGATGATGATGATAGGATATGTAAATTTGTGTATGTACTGATGATGATATGCGTGGTGATGGG